AAAGTGAGTCCAGAGAGCAAAGAGGCCACTCTCCTGTGGTCTAACACACTCCAACTTTTGCCACACGGTGCGTGGTTCACCCACTCCGGAGTTTCACCCCCCTCCCCTAAGCTTAGTCTTAGGCGCTATAGGTGAGAAAGCTTAGAAAAGCAGAAAATATGCGTTAAACAGCACGAATGTCGTGATCAGGGCCCCAAATAACCCTATACAGAAGTTTACAGCGAATTTGGTGATAATCAGTTGTGGCGCCAGCTGGCGCCAATTTGGCGCCAGCGCCAAAAATGGATGTCATATTCGTGATCAGGACCCTCGATAACCCCCATAGCGAAGTTTCAGCGAAAATTATTTTTTGACCCATCTCGGCCCCCACTGGGGTTGTAATAGTGCAGTAGTGTCAAATTTTTTTACTCGCTCATGTGATATTGATGCGTTTGAGTATAAAAACGGAAGTACCCTGTGCCTTCTGCAAACCTGTAACTATTGATTTGAAATTTTGCGCTTTTCATTCATTCATACAAGGCAATATGGAAGACAAGCTGATTTAATTATACATAGTATGAACGAACAAGTTTGTGTTGAAGAATTTTTGTGTGTAAAAATGGTAAATACTTTCCTAACGCAAACAGTTTAGTGCCGCAGAAGCGTAGTATACCCAGAATCAGATTTTCTTTGAAAAAAAAACTAGGATGCTCGTTCGCTGAACGGAAAACGCACATGTTGAACAGCGATACTGTGACCCAATCGCTGGAAATTGCCAAGGATAGCCAGTACAAAAAAAGCAACCACGGACCGATAGCAATGAACAGCCGATCTCTCTGACACTGAAAACATTCTTGAAGTTTGCAGGAAGGATCAGTTAATGCCTATTATACCTTTTCAACTTCGTTTTTCCTGTTCTTGGACACTCTATCAAGAATATATAGATAAGCCTTCACTTCAGCTTGATAGTGGGGCAGATACTTCTTTATGAGCATGCAATCGTATGACAGCGCTGTTGCTAAGCAGGCAAAACACATGTTGAACAGAAGTACCGGTGACCACAAATCCATTGTTTTCATTGAGAATCTGCCCAAACAGCTCCATTTCGATCTCACCTGAAATCGGAAGTTGAAAGTTTTTATCAATCAAAAATTCTAACCGTTTTGGTATTCTCTCCTGCGTGCTTTCAGTAGCCTCTTTGTCTACAGCTGCGTTTATAATTCAGGTGATATTATGCGAACAGATGCTGCTCTCGCTCTTGTATTCGAAGGTTCGGGAGATTTTGGAATCATTGTTTTTCCGTGCTTGAAGAAAATTAAAAGTCAAGATGTTCGATTCTATGCACTCTATGGCGCCAACCCTATCGAAGGGATGCAT